CTTGGTAATTATATGGAAAAAGACAGACTAAATTTCCTAAAGTAGAAATTGCACAACACTTGTATTTAGAAATCATGAATTTAATTTCATAAGATACAGCCATTTTTTCAAATGAATGAAAATGAAGTGTCAATGTTTTAGACTTCAGGAAATTTAAGCATCAAAATAAGTTTGTGAAGACAGTGTCACATAGATGTCATTCATAGTTTTTCACAACTGTTATCAGCACAAACCCTTTAAATATGAATTGTTATTCTACACTATAACTGGGTTAAAATATCACACTATGTCATTATGGCCTAACATGTTGTGTGAACTTAGCTGGCTGTGGCTTGTTTAGTAGATCATGGTTAAACAAATTGTAGCATAACATGACATTTGAACTATGGGTAGAGATTACTCCCTTGCACACAAAACAAAATACAGTTTCCTCACAGTGTGTGTAGCCCTTATGCAGCCTAATGCAACTGAAAATGCCCCTAATTTATTGATAGTATTCAACAATAAACAATAAACATGAAATCTAACCTATAGCAATATATAGAAGATGGTGAGTTTTCTACATAAATTCTATGTACCCAGCTTGTATGTCTTATTCAAAAACATGTGGTGACTAGTTTAACTCAAGAATAAATTGAGAGAACCATAGGGAAGAATGATATCTAGGAGTCTGACACAGCAACAACAACAATTAGAACACCAATTGTAAATGCTTTTGCAATTATACTTCAGCTCCAGGAGTTCCATCCTGGACCTATCACCTTTGGGGTGAAATCCTCTGGTAAAATCCAGAGGCCACAGACTGAGTGATTTCCAAAGTCAGAAAATGCCAGTTTTAAAAAGCCCCAAAACCCAGTGATGGGAGCAATGAAGGAGAAGTACAGAGTTAGAGAGACTCTGTTGTTCTGTTTCTACTTCATCCTATCACCTTCTTCCTTTTTTTATGGTAGACTGCTCTCAGTTCAAAACAATCCTGCCAATATTTGAGACCTACCTGTTTTGAATTATGCCCTGGTCTTTAATTCCTTCCTGGAATTTTAATCCTGCTTCACACACTCACTCATTCTCTCTCTCACACACACACACACATACACACAAACACACACCCAGTACCTTGCCTGCAGGTCTAAAAAACATGACGAAGAGGGTGAAAAAGTATGAGGAAATAGGAGGATAAAATATATACTGGCATCAATCCTTACACTTAAAATTTGTAATGCCTATAAAGTGACCAGCTGGATACAGATTTGGGAGAAGGAAGCGAAGGATGGAGTTGGTCTTTTTAGCAAAGGTGGGAAATGGCCAGAAAATTAAATCTTCAGATTGATTTCTCAGCTGTAGAGAAATTTCTGTTCCAAGGATTTCTCCACAAAAACATGGTCTAGGGCATTGTTTCAAGCATCTCCACTATGACAAGAAATTCCAAAAGATTTATATATTAGATATTCTATATTTACTATTCCTGAACTATTTTATAAAATGATATTTTAAAATATATTTTAAAATGAAAAGATTCTAAACAAAAGTTTAGTTATACCTTTTTTGTTGTTGTGCTATTATATCAACATGGGAAGAAGAGACCAAAGCCTTATTCAGCTGAATAAATCATGCAGTGTACCTTTTGTGTCTAACTGACGTACAGATAAAAGGGTTGATTAAAATCAATAATTTAAATTGAGGCTTTCTGCTTGGTAATTAATATCATGGCTAAAATCAATGTAGATGATTTTTAACCCACAGATTCTATCAGCAAGGCCTTCTTAACTGGTTTATTTAAAGTCTATATAACTGATGCTTTTCTTAAATAAAATACACAAGGAAATTCTCTATAGTCACTAATGCTGATTATTTCTTAATTTCTACACTAGACTTGCTCAAGAGACCCCCATATAATTCCTATATACATTAGTGACAGATGGCCGCTGTAAGGTATACTGCCTTCAGGAACATGAACTACCCTCTCACTGCTCTGCTCTAATATGCACATAATTAGGAGCGATTTAACGGATCATGTTGCACAACTGCACTGTTCCAGAGGATTTGTTTGCTTTTGGCTTGTTATGATATGCAAATCTATCCATTATGATATAGTATTCTGTGACAGCCAGGCCACAATGGCTTGTTCAATAAACCATGGTTTTAAAAATCTTGTCACTGTGTGATTTATGTGAATGCAGCTACTTGTGGATACAGAAGTTAGAAAATTAGATTTGTGTCTGATATAGAAATAGAGATTCTTATCTATTTTGAAAATAGTTTACATTAAGACTGTCCTCAACAAAATTACAACTTTAGAAAGCTATGAATACTCTATGGCAAATATGTCACTATATCTTTCTTTCTTTTGCTTGTGTTTAGAACATTAAATTAATATATTAACAGAAATTATGCTTCCTCCGCCTTTACTTAATATTTGATAGGATGTTTGTACAATTTTGTTCCGAAAACATGTTTCATGCATTTTTTCTGAGATTATTTATGCAATAGTGTTCTAATCCATGCATTTTTGCTGCCTATATTGTTCAAAAAGTACTATAAATGGGATAAAAGGTGTGTGCATTATTTATTCATAGGAATAATATCTGTGTAAAGTTATCCATAAGTAGAGTGTATGCTATACATATACCCCAATATACTGCTACGGTATGATAGGAGCTGTACACCAACTCATCTGAAAGACACCAAGCTGAAGAAAATTGACCTTAGTATTACTTATAAAAGGTATTGCCCCTCACATTTAAAATAGCCTAATGTTAGGTTAATATTTTCAAAAACATCTTCCAAACAGAAAACAGCTAAAATTAGAATTTGAGCATATTTTTCTCCACAATCCTGTCTGGTAATATCTAACACCATATTTGGAAAACATCTGGCAACTCAACTAAGTAAGAAACTGGGACACAAGATGTATTATTTTAATGTCAGTTTGCAATGCAACTTTTGAAGTAAAATAAATAAATAAATATCTATCTATCTATCTATCTATCTATCTATCTATCTATCTATCTATCTATCTATCTATCAGGTACCACCACTTGAAAGTACTACATAAGAATTTTGAATATTTTTCAGGCTGAATGAGCCAAGAAAACAAGGTTTCAAACAATTAGCATGTATATATCCAAGGACATTTTATTTTATAAATAAATATAAATATTAATGACAGCAACAGGGGCTACCAGGATTTCTGTTACTAAGCAATGCAGTCCTAACTTGCAACATCACATGACCACTTTGCTTAGTGATGGCAATCCTGGCAGTCCCCATTGCCATTGTTAAGTGAGGATCATGGGTCATTAAGTGAGCCCCAGGTGGCTTGCAAGCAGGCCAGCAGGCAGGTAAGTGGCTGCTGCTGGGTGGATGAGGGTGCGGGGTGGCTGCGAGGCACAGTGTGAGAACGGCGGGGCCAGGGCGGGGGAGTGTGTGAGTGACTTACCGGGGTGACTTGTGGCCTTTCCCCTCCGCCTCCCCCCCGTCCTTCCCTTTTGGGTGTTG